CATATCTAAGAAATAATAATGGCTAATGTAAATCCTATTTCCGAATAATTCTACAGAGCATTTACACAAATTTCTTTTCTTATTTAATAGAGAATTATGAAAGATTAAAGTAATAAAAATTACAAAAATATTTTCATATTAGAATTGATATATCAGAAGAAATAGTAAAGTTATAGACAGAAAGTTTCCTATCAAATATTTTATCCAATTTGCTAAAAATTATGCAAGGCTAATTATAAGAATCATGCATATTTTCCTCTGAAGCTCACTTCCTAATGAGAAGAGTTTAAAAATGCTGTAACTTGATATCTACTTAATAACATTGTTCTAAACTTAAATTTTGCCTCTACAAGCTGAACGAAGAAGGCCACTGAATGTTGGCAATTGGTAGTAGGTTTGTGCCTGACTAATTTGCCAATTATGTGATGTTTTCAGAATTTTCTTTGTGTATCTGATACATAAATACAGTGCAGACCAATTCCCATTAAAAGTCAATTCGAAAGGCATCTCACCTATGACAGATTATCCACATGTTTGCATTGTCTTATCTCATTACTCCATTCCAAAACTTAATTTTATAACATTATCAGGCAATGAAAGCAGACAAATTTTGGAATTCTAACTGAAATATCTCTACAAAGAAACAAAAGGTCTTTTGAAAACTTTATTGAGACTACCTATTTGCTAGTACTGGACTTTCTACACTTAATAATGATAAAAATTACAAGTCCATTAAAAAAAATATAAAGATTGACAAGATACAGTTATTTGTAAACATATTACATAGAGTGAATCGAAAAATATATATAATTATTGTTTATCTTCCAATAGTCCCAATCAGAAGTCATATTTCTTAAGGATAGATCTGAATGTAAATACATATTGGTGCCATGACCCTTATTAAATTGTTATACAGAATTATAAATCAAATAGTAAACAAGGAAGCATTGAAAGAGTTGTTGAGCAAACTCCCAAAGCTCTGAATAATAGAAATAGAAAGGCATATAACACGAGTAACTAAATATAACCTTTAAATAAGTTAAAAACTCTCATGCTACTCATAATGCAAGAGCATATAACAATTTGATCAGAAATTTTACTGGTCTACATTCAGGACTAATTTGTTGGGTGTGAATATGTATATGAACTTTATGGGAGATAAAGACAGTGCCTAATCCTACTCTCATTGGCAAGAGTTATAATAATCTAAAAACTTTATGCCTTGCACTAGGTATGGTGCAAGAGAGATCAAAATGCATGCGTATTAGCAGAGAAATTGTGATACATTTGCATTTCTGCTACAAAACTTCAATAAAAATATATATTTAATAAAATTTTGGGGCATGTATTAATACCCTGCATGTTCTGACAGCATACCTTCAGTTTCTATCCACTGTGGATGGTCATAACCACTATAGCACTTATGATTTAATCTTGAGGGAGCAGAGTTGAACAAATAATAAGATTTTAATGCAAACTCAATAAAATTCCCACCTTATGTGACTGCAAATTCATTAGTAATATAGAAATAAAACACATGACACTATCTAAATAAAAACAATAAATTTTAATTAGGAAAATATTTTTTAAAAGTTTAATAGTGTTTACAATTCTATGCACAGTAAACTAGAACTTATTATACTTTTTACTAGTGTTTCTTTTCATTTTACTTAGAAGAGTGCCAAAGTTCTTTTGTTAACTTAATAAAGCAAACAACATATCTTTAATTGCAGGGCTACTTCAACTCCAATACAGGTATACCTCGACTTATGTCGTTTCGAGTTACTTCGTTCCCGATTATACGTCGTTTGTCAAAAAAGTATACGGAAAAATAAAAATCAAGTTTAAGTCATTTTATTCGACTTTACGTCCGTCCACCACAAATATTGAAGTCGTAATATCACTAGAAAAGCGTTTAAAGCACATAAAATCATATTAAAATATATACATTTACAAGTATGTACTGTATTTACAGTACAGTACATGCATTCGTAAATTTAGATTACTTTTTTCTGTACTCTATTAAAAACTAAAATTTATTTGTTTGTAAGCTTAAAATAGATTCTTATTAACCATATATTATTAAAAATGCATTAATAAATAAAATACAGAACTGGGAATAGTAATTTATGGTTTAGCCTAGTGACAAGTAGATTCGGAGACAAGTAAATTCGACTTACGTTGTTTTTCGACTTAAGTCGTTTTCCTGGAACCAATTACCGACATAAGGCGAGGTATACCTGTATACAAGAGTATTACACAGTGATATACTAAACAATTATCTGAATTGCTTAAACTAGCTTATGTTGTAAAACATATTCCTCAATGCTCAGAAACTAAGAAAGGCATCAGTTAGCTAAAATAGTGTTGTTGACATTTTGTCTGTGGTGTTCCTTCTTATGTGAGGTTTGCTGTTATAGACTAATGTAAGAATCCAATGAATTTCTGACAGTGAAAGAATTGCATTTTTAACAGATTTTATTGAGTAACACCAACTTATAGTCCATCATCCAGAAGTGCTCTTGAGGAGTTTACAAATATGTTTTCCTATTAAAAAAGGATTTTCCAATGAGCACTTTAAAAATGTTTAAAGTTTATTGACTCTTTTTATACTCGACAAGTTAAGCAATGAACAAGAGTCAAAAAATTTTTAAACACTTCATTTGCTAAAATTAGAGGGTAAAAGATAGATTGATATTTAACCTTATCAAGCTTGAATATTTGCTTCTATTCTGAAGACTTATCACACCTTTTGGAGGATGTTTTCAATTGAACCAAGACAGTTTTTTTTATCCGTTCTATTTTATTAAATAGGCATTTCAGACAGTTCTCTCTCTCTTCAGTTTTAAAGTAGATAACTTTTTAGGTCAGATGATCTTTTACAATTATATTACTTTTAAAAAAAAAAGTCATAATTATAGTACATCTATATATACAAAATTTTTGGTTAATAATAATATTGTTAATTGGTGCATACTTTATTTAATATAACTTCAATGATAGTAAAAAGAGCTATGTCATAAATAGTACAATGGGATATTAGATTTTTTCCATATCAGTACATAATCTCTACATATAATTAAATACACATAACTCTGTGTATTTAATTATATTTTATAACTTAATTAGCTAGAATAGTAACTCATAACACTTCTAGTACAAACAAACTTGAATTGATTTAATTGCCTTTATGTCCTTATATTATACTATTTTATTATATTATTGTCAACTAAGGACTTATCATATTAATAGGAGGTGTGCCATTTTTGCAAAAGAAGAATTCTTATACAGAACAATAATTTTTTATTTTTCTGAATAAGAATTCCTCCTTTGCAAAAATCAGCACACCTCCTATTAATATAATAAGTCCTTAGTTGACAATAATATAATAAAATAATTGAATTGAATTAGTAAGAAATTAACTCATTTTTGTTAGCTTAAACACTGCCAGGTAGCTAATCACCATTCACTGTTATTAAGAATAACAACAAAATCTGCTACATTACATATACTAAACTTTACTCTGCTTTACAAATTTTAGTAGCAAATTGAGTGTTGAGGTGAATAGAATGTTAAATCATAAAAATTTTAAAAACATATGTCTTTTGTCAGAAAGGGGTGGTCCAAAAGTAAGTTAACTACTGTAAAGGTATTGTTAACTTACACAAATATTTTGTTATTGCTCAAAACAAGTCTTTCATGTTATAATATACAAAACAATATTGTAACTGTTTTGAAAAACTTTGATGATAATTCTCATTACCTGACTTTTGGCCTGTTTTATATTTTAATTCAAAGTATTAAGAATACTTTACTTATAACTCTGTCCATTAATACTAAAAGACAAAATCTATAATTATACAGTTATTATATCAAAAAAAATATACCTAATAAAAAATATAGCATAAAAGAGAAGTCATTAAATCCCAAGTTCAATCTTTATCAGACAAAAACAACATTAAATGTAAATTATGTGTATTTATGACAAATAATATATTAAGCATGTTTAAATATGATGTATCTCAATCATACTTATAATTATTATAAATTTTTTTACATAGCAATTATTTAATTTAAAAAATGATAAATGGAATATAATTATCAATAACTGCTCTTAATTTGTTTTTATTATTTACCAATCCCAATTCTTAATTATTACACAAAATATTAGTACATTTAAATGATTTAATGAGATCGGCTGACATAATGTATTTATTTAGAGTAGGGTTTTTAATTCGAGTAATGTGGTGAGACTCGGAGGATTGTTGATTTTCCTGATCTCCAAAATCATCCGAAGCATTGTGTGAAATTCAAGACCTGAAGACCGAGAAATTATTCTAGGATTGTTGATCCCCTGTATCCTCAAAAATTGCAAGGGCAAGAGAGAAGAGAAAAGTAAGACAAATGAGGAAAAGAGGATGGAGAGAGGATCAGTTCTTAATCCTCAGAATACTACTCTCAGTTTTACTCACAAATAGAATCTTATTCCTTACCTCTATCACCTTTTCTCTTAGAATCCGTCCTTCTTGATCTTCTCACATTTGACAAATACCAAACACAAGAAAGGAGGTAGGATTGAAACCCAAACTGAAACCAAACACATAACACTACACTCAATAGCTAAATGTATTACAATTTAGACACTTAAACTAAACAAAAATATTTTATACACTTTATTAAGATTCAGATAAATCATCAGTTAATCATTTTAAGTCAATTCATGTAATAAATAACTAATGTACAAATTAAAGTAACATTCAAAATTTTCTGTTCTTGATTATTTGAATGTCCTGTACAATTAGTTCAAATAAGATTAATTATGGATGTGCAATGCAAAATTACATGTTTTCAATGCCCTGAGATTATTGAGTAATTACAATAGAAACAATACATAATTCATACACTACAGTGCAGCTGACAAAATACCTAAGCACAGCCACGACGTCAAAAACAATACCAAGCCAGTATGACAACACATAACAACCACGTGTTTTCCCACAATTTAAATTTGCAATGGACAGTGCCATCTAGGGACATTCACAAGTCATAGAAACCAATATAATGTCATAAATTCTTAAATTTTGACTGTATCACTTCTACAGTTTCAAGATATAATTAGGTTTATAAAAATAAATATATAAACGTTATTACATCCCACAGAACAGAGAAAACGAAACCATAACTAACAACCCGGAAGTTACCTACAATCGCGGGTGAAACGAGATCAAGGTCACTACCGTTACTAAATCACGTGGTATTACATACATTATAAAACGTTCGCGACTATTTTTCCGGGTCACACTGCCACGTATTCTCCGTCGTATCACGTATGTGAATTTCTGACAATATTGGTGATTAGCCAAAGGATCGTAGAAGTAATTATTATTTATAATATTTAAAATTGCTTGGTAATAACTCGTTCCGACGCCACGTGAGATACATGCCCGTCAGCATTTAAATAGATAAAAGAATCCGTTAAAATAATGTTTTAGTATATCAGTATAAATACATGAAAGCGGCAAGTCAATTGTGCATCGAGACTTGCAGATATCGGCGACAGCGTGTGCTTGGGTTTTTCCGCGGATATAGCGGTTGACGGAAACACGTCAGCGAGGTGACGTGATACGATTTGTAAGTCTCAGCCTAAAACGTGCTACTCCGCGATGAAAACAAGGTTACGCTATGGCGTGCGTAGTCGGTAAATAATCCGATGAGTTTTCGTTTGTAGCTGTTATAATAAAATATGTACAAATATACAAATATCAGTATGGCTGACGGCCACACAAACGTGTCGTGTGTCGGATTAGATCGCTCCGCATTCTATCATGTTTCTGATCGTCTTGCGTTTTTATCTCCATTCGGCTTCGGCCGCCGTTTTTCATTTGACGCCTCGCTCCAGCGCGCAGCGTCCCAAGCGATCACGCAACCACACGCGACGCCAGCTTCAACCAAAAAGTTCAAACTTTCAAACTTCAAACGTCGCTTGATATTTAAAAATTTTAAAAAGTCTCGGCGGGCCGCAAACCTATGTATTGGTGGGCCGCATGCGGCCCGCGTGTTTGACATGCCTGCTGTAGAAGAAAGTGAAAAAGAAACCGCATCTAACCAAGTTCAATCAGACTCAGATAGATCAAAAACATCAGAAATAGAAGAAAAAATTTCAGATAAAAGAGAGACAGTATTTTCCTTAGATTTTTATGGGATTTACTAGTTATTTCCCTCAATATTGTCAGCATTTAAATATGTTATGTGATATTTAGGGGAGCATCTGTCAGTGCTGTATCTTCGTTATTAACTTATTTCTTTTTCATAGGTAAGTCTTTACTATTATGGCAGTTAATCCGAAAAGAAAGTCGTATTCACCGAGCTTCAGGGAAGCAGAGACCAGTAGTAAAAAGAAATCTTTGAAGAGTCGCGAGGAAGAAGAATTTGCATATCTTCTGGAAGGAGAAGATTTTAACCTCGAAGAGGGTATACGTGTTCTGTTGCGTTTACATCTCTCTATGAATTCTAAGGTCGACCAACTTATTTCTAGGATAGATTATGTATCCGAATGGCTAAAAAATTTGGATGAAGGTTTGGCTGATTTAGATATTAGATTAGAAACATTAGAAAAATTGGCTGATAAAAACTGTGGTTTAAGTGATCAAAGTAATGTTACGAAAAAGTTTAATGATATTACTCGCGAACTTGATTTTTTGGATAACCAACGACGAATAAATAATGTTGTCATTTCTGGTTTGGAGGAGGTTCGGGATGAATCTTCACTAGAAACTAAAGAGAAAATAATTGAATTTGCTTCACGTGTTTTACAAATGCCCGATATTAAAATCGGTAGGGCAATGAGAGTGGGAAAGAAAAAAGCCAATTCCCCTAGATTAATTATTTGTACTTTTGTTGATTATTATGAAAAAATGTACTTTAAGAAACGAGTTCTGGAGTTAAAACCGGATGGTGTCTATGTAAATGATGACTTCTCTCCTAGAGTGAAAAACATTAGATTTAAGCTTCGGGATTTCGGTAGACAATCAAAACTTTCTGGAGCGCGAATGGTAAAAATAGTTTATGATAAAATTATTATTGATGGAACGAAGTACTTTTACGATGTTGATTGTGACCAGGTTAAGCCTGTTTCATCCTAGCAACTACCGGATAGGGGTACATCATTCCTGATTTGGAATTGTGCTGGTTTATTTAATAAAACTGAGTTTTTTTGGAAGTATTTATTGCAGTATGATATTGTATTTCTTTCTGAAACCTGGTATGGTTCTAATAATAGAAATTCGGACTTAACTGATCGTTTGCAAGGTTACAATCTCCATTTTGGAAAGGCTTTTAAGTTACATGCAAAAGGTCGTTACTGTGCAGGCTGGTTATTAGCAATAAGATCTTCTTTTCCCTGTGTTGTTGTTTATCAAGATTCTTTTCTAATACTTGTCAAATTTGGTGCCGAACTTGGTAATATTTTGGTATGTTTTGTTTATTTTAGGGAAAATGACTGGCAGTCTATTTTTGATACTTTAACCCTTTGATTTTACGACTGGCATGTGGCAATGAGAGATCGGTCTCTTTAAAAAAGAGGCAGAAGACTAATAGATTGTTTTGGGACGAATCTAGAAAGGAGGAATTAAGGTTGGCTATGGAGGAAATATGTACCACGAATAAGTTTGATTTAATAGAAGACTTAAGTAATTGCCTTTTCAGTTTGGCCTGTAAGTGTGGATTTAATATCAGGAGACATAAGAATTCTTTTTCATGGTTCGATTCGGACTGTAGGATGTTAATTAGTGCTAGGAATAGAGCCTGGAGATTTTTTAGGAAGAGTAATGATTCTAATGATCGATTACGTTTTGTTATGTTACGAAGTTTGGCGAAGCGGTGGTGCATCGCGAAAAAAAAATTATTTGCTGGTAAAATTCAGAATCGTTTTAGGAAAGATAACAGACTTTTTTGGAACTATTTTTTGGAACTATTAAGCGTGCCAAGTCTTGTAATTTCAGCTTTATTCCTATTGATGATTGGTTTCATCACTTTTTCAATTTATTTGGTTCCTTGGACCCTTATTTTGCGGATATATCGATTTTTAATTATTGTAGGAATTGGCATGATGAACTTTTAGACCATGAATTTTCTATAAGTGAGCTTAACTTCGCTCTGAGGAGGTATAAGCCAAATAAAGCCCCAGGTTTTGACCGGATCCCAATGGAATTCTGGAATTTTGAGACATTGAGACCAAATCTTTTGAGTCTTTTCTCAAAGATTTTTGATACTGGGATAATACCGGAGTCTTGGAAGACAAGTATTTTAATTCCGATTTTTAAGAATGGTAGGAAGGATGTTCCTGGTAATTATAGAGGCATCTGGTTATCATCATGTGTTTCTAAATTGTTTTGTACTATTTTGTATAAAAGACTGACTCGATGGTTAAAAGTTAAAAATATATTGCATGAAAATCAGGCAGGATTTCGAGCTAGTTATTCTACACTGGATAATATTTTTGTTTTGTACACTGTTATTCAGAAAACTTTTTTACGGAAATGTAGTAAAGTGTATGCATTTTTTGTTGATTTATCTTCTGCCTTTGATAGAGTTTGTAGGAATTTGCTGTGGTTAAAGATGTCGCGTTATGGTTTTAGTTATAAATTTGTGTCTTTACTCGTTGCTTTGTATGAAAACTCCTCGCTTATGGTAAGAGTTGGAGGTAACTGTTCGCCGTTAATGTTCTCTAAGACTGGTGTTAGCAGGGCTGTATTTTGAGCTCAATTTTGTTTAGTATTTTTTTGAACAATCTCTTTGGCATTATTAATTCTTCTGAGGATGGTATAGAAATAAGTGGTTTTCAGATTAAAATATTGGCTTACGCAGATGATATTGTAATTTTATCTGATTCTGTGGTTGGACTTCAAAGATTGATTGATAAATTGGCAGTTTATTTAGATGAAAATGGTTTGAAATTGAATCTGAATAA